TTAATAAATCCTTAAAATTAAACATTAATTATAGTTTTTCACAAATGTCATTACTATGACGTAGAAGATACTGTGATTAAACGTTGGGACCTAGACAGAGCATACGATACTATGATGTGGAAGATACGAAACATTTAGCTCAGACCAGGCAGACAGCGGTGAAAGAAAATAAGTGATATAGATGAATTATTTTCCCAATTTGCGAATCTCAAAATTTCAGCAAACTGATGAGCTATATATGACTCATTTCTCAATCCAAACCCCAAGAATAAGTTCACCAGCATCGAGAGACCAAAGCCAAAAAAAGAGGTTTAATTTAAATGGACATATATAGCATAATTATCACCGATATGGCTCCGCATACCTTCAAATTTTATTGTAGGAAAACAACCCGTTTGACCCGGACCTTCCCGCATATTGACTTCATCTTTAACCTATAGAAGCATTTCATATGCTATTTCCGTACACTCATAATAAAAAATTCTGGAACTCTTTTGTTAATTTTAATCTAACTCATTGGCCATTTGAAATGTTAATGAGTTCTCTTCATCCTCAATCCATTATGTTTGAATTATGTTTTCTTTTTCTTTTTCTTTTTACTTCTATGTGCTTTTATTTTTATTTTTATTTTTTTATATGTGGTATGAAAATAATAAAATAATTACTTTCTCGTAATAAAATGAATTCACATTTATTCAATTGTTATAACTATAATCTATATTAATTTCATGTCTTAAACATAAAAACAGATTAGAGTAGAAATATTGTAAGTGAAATAAGCATTAAAACAAGAATGGTAAATTATATTTATATTCCAACACCTTGAAATTTAATTTTATGTGAAAAACTTTCTTCCTCCTTTTTTGTTAGGTCATCTCAACAACACAAGAAGAAAACATTATCGCAAAAAATAATCAAAAAATATTTACTCTCAAAACGATGTCGTTTTGATGTTGAAATATTTAAAAATTATAATTATAAAGACTAGTATAACCCTGAAATAAATTAAAATTACAAAAACACATTGATTTCTGCCTCAAAACGACGTCATTTTGAGCTCTATGAAGATAACTTATCTGCATTAACTGCAGAAAAAACTAACGCAAAAATAATATATTTTAATAATACATGTTTAAATATTTTATATTATTGAGATTTATAGAAAATTAAATTCATTTAAAAAATATTAAAATATAAAATATATTATATTACTAACATTTCTATTATTATGGTGAAAAAATTTAAGCAATTAATGAGGTACTAACGTACCGTGTTTCAAAGAGCCGAGTCCGTGTTAGGAGAAGAATTTCAGTAGTCCACGACTATTAACTTAGCAGTTGGGATCAATTAAAATCAAACAATTACTAAAGAGAGAAAAAAAAAAAAAAATTTGTCCAAATATCATCCTCTAAATAGAAGAATCACATGAGACCTGGAATCCTAAAAAAATTTCCCCGTGTTAGAATAACTTGTGAATTTGTTATAGAGAAATGAATTCGAGTTAGAACTAGCCGTGAATAATTATGAATAAAAAGTTAGAATATGAGGTACTAGCTAGGTTCAATAGCACTAAATCTTTAAATATTTTGCACTAATAATTCCAAACCGGACTGGCCAGTCCGGTTCAATCTTAATAACACTTTTTTAAATACTATTTTCATTTCTTCTCGGTTTTTTGTTATTATTTTGAGAAACAATTAGTGGATTAGAGAATTTAGGAAGGCAACAAAATGAGCCAGACATGCTGTAGCCGTAGTAAGTGGGTAAGCACCAATATTATGTACTAAAACAATAAACAAACAAAACAAGCCACACATGTAGAAAAGGAGGGGCTGTCTGGATTCAGAGAGTTAAGAAAACTAAGTCAGCTATGAACTAGGGGTGTTTGGTTGAGGAGAATTTTTTTAAATATTAGGGAAATGTAATTGATAGGAAAATGGTTAGAAAGTGAGTTTGGTAGGAAAATGTAAAAAATATTGTTTGGTTGGAAAAAAATTTATCGGACAAATTAGATAAGATAAGAGTATTACGGTCAGCTTTTTAGTTGTCTTTTACTCATTTAGCCGTCTAAGTCACAATACCGTTCAAAGTGGAGAAATTGAACAGTAACTTTCTTTCCACTTTACACACAAATATTAAAGTCTAGAGAAATGTGTTTTCTATCAAAATTTTGTAATATTGTGAACCAAATATGGAAAACAAAGGAATCCTATCTATGATGTCTAGGTATTTCCTAAAAAAACTTCAACCAAACACCGCCTAAGAGAGAGGTGGTCATATTTGCTGGGCAGGGCTGTAATATCGGCATAGAAAGAATAATTACAAATTTTAAATGGCTAACAGTAATGGGAAGAAGGGAAAGTCAGGGGGAGCTAGCCGACCCTACTGGTGGGACCTTAGGAAATACAAATTGCGTGATGCCATTCCAAGCACTCTCTTTCACATTTCCTCTCCTCTCTATGCTTTCTTTTCTGCTGCTTCTTCTTTTTTTTTCTTTGGTGGCTTGGCTTCTCTCTTAATCTCTTTCTTTGTCACTCTCCTCCATTAATTAAAGTTAGAAATCCTTCTTGATTTTTGGGGAAGATCACCCAATACCGGCCTCAATCTTTTTCTTCTTTTTGGACTCGCTCACTAACCTTAAACTATACTACAACTAATTTTCACGGCTACTTAACAAGAATTAAAAATAAAAATAAGAAAAAAAAACTAGTGTTCATATATAGTTCCTAATTTTTAACCATTAACTGTGGAATCAAACCACTTTCTATTTAAAGTTTATTAGCATGTTAGCATTATAATTTCCAAACCCCAAATTGTAGTTTGAGTGTGCAAATTAAATCTTATTCACAAATATCATATTTAATAAAATCATAATTCACTACTAAAAAAGCATGATATATTTAAATATAATTTTTTTATCATAAATCACACTTGAGTGAAAGTTAAAAAAAATACTTTTCTCTTTGGTTAAATAGTGATTTATAAACTATAATCCAAACATACTAATACTTATTATATATTATTCGTACAAGTTACTTGAAAATTTGATCTTAACATACCCAAATATATAAATATTCTGGTTAACCTACCGATGTCATAAAAGCTTACAAGTCACGAACTATTAATATTAGCTTGTGAAGATCTGCAATTACTCGTTAACAACCGCGCGGGTGTTCATTGGATTTATACTTTTCACAAGATGCATGTTTGGAGTAATAGTATTTGCGTGATATCTGGTGTAGTTTGTTGTCATGTGTAACAAATTAATTTGTCTTAGTGAGCTTTGATTTTGCGAACGTTATTTTATTTTCAAACCTGAGAAAAGTGTGATATTTCGTTTCAAAAAAAATTTAGTATATGCTTTTATTGTTCCTTCAATTAAGTCTTACTGTCTTCAAGTCATATATATCTTTAATTAAATCTACAAAATATAACATTGCTTATGTTGGTATAAATAATAAATACAATCCATCACTGCCTCTTCAAATGAAAGAAAATTAAATTGTAGATAACGGTCATAAATTAAATATATTAGGTTACGTCAGATATCTTAACTTAACTTAAAAAAAAAAAATCAATAATAAATCTTATTCTTTTTGGGAAAGCATTGTTCAGATCTTAATAAACGTAAGAGTTGTTGATTTAATTAAGATAGGATATATTAGCAAATTAAAAATAATTGTAAACAAATACAAAAAAAAATGTTTTTTTATTGGTTTAAACCAAAATAGTCTTTGTTCTAGTATAGTCAAGTTTGTTTCAGCTAAATTATGTGAGATTTGAAAGTTTCTTCGTTCACTGCTTTGCGTTACTAATGGGGTTAAATTTTGCAACGTTTATTTTGGCTATTTGAAAGAGTCATATGTAAAATCCATTCCAACAGGAAAAATTAGCAAAGAAAGAAAGAAATCAATATTGCTCATCCATAATGCAATCAGATCGGGGATATCGTGATCTGTTTGTCAATTTCCTAGATAAGAATTACGAGGACATTTATTCATAAAAAAAAAAAAGGTTAAAAAAAAAAAGTTATTACGAGGTCACGCAGCTGTTAGGGTTTGAATATTCAAAAAATAGTAAAAAATCCAACGTATTAAAAGCTAAATAGAAAGCGTCGCGGCGATAGAAAATGTAGCTGTATAAATTGGATTCAATTACAAATATTTCCCTTCTGAATAAACATAATATGACTTGTTTCTATCAATGTTCGATTAAGCGCTTTATTAAAATTCTTAATTTATCAAACAATATATTAAGAAGGTCACAAAATTTTGTAAAAGGAAACCAAATCAAAGGAAAATCAAAATTGTATTCTTATTTTCTTTTAAATAATTCAGAGTGACAGATTATAATTTTGATGCAAAACTTGGAAAGAGCTAATCGAGTTACCATAGGTAGATGATAAAATCTGTAATAAGTGATTATATTAGATTCCTATGAATAGAGATATCCCATTTTTCTGAGAGGTTCGAAACCTCACAATTATAAGAGGGAAAAAAAAAAACAAATACGGATGACGAGTTATTACTAATTTACCATTAACTTTTTTATTTTATTTTTATTTTTTTTGTTTGCTTTTGATATGCATGTACATGCCTAAAAGCAATTAAAAAAATGAAAGGGAAACAAGGGAAAGAGAAATTGTGAAGAAAGCAAAGCTGGCGCGAGACGCATGGGCCATATACAAACAATTCCAGCGGCAGCGTTAGCGGCAGAGACCTGCACACCCCAACAACAACAATACATCACCCATTTACCAACGCCTCCTTCGTTCACACACATACTGACCCACGCAACCCTCACTCACCCTTCTCTCTTATTATTATTATTAATTTTCTGTGATTAATAAATAATTATCATGAGTAACTGTTTACGAGGATTGTTTAAAAATAATCAAACACTATATCCTAAAACTAAATTTGGTATATTTCTCTGACAAAATATTTAAATATTGTATTGGTGCAAGCAAAGCAATAACCAACAAACGCGACACTAGTCCTGGAGAAAAGGCAACTCCACGCGAAGAAGAGAAGCAAAGAAAGAAAGAAAAAAAAAAAAAAAAAAGGAAAGAAAGAAAGAGCAGAATAAGGTGTGTCTCTTGGACCGATTCGCTTGAATCGCATCTATCTCATCCCCACCTTTACTAGTACTCTCTATTCTCCAAGGCAAAGTAGGTGAAAACAAGGTGTATGAAAGAAAGAAGTGCAAGGATGGTGGTGGTGGTGGTGGCCTCTCTCTCTCTTAAACACGCATGATTTGTTTTCTGATTCCTTCTCTTTCAAAGTATCTCATCTCATCTCAATTTTTTTTTTTTTTTTTTTTTTTTTTTTTTTTTTGGGTTTGGTCCACCCTCTCTCATATTGAAGAGTCCGCCTCGGCTTGGCATCTTTCTTTCTCTTTCACTCTTGTTATGTGTTTGTGTGATTATTGACCTGCCCCCTCCCCCTCTTTGCATTGCTTCTTTAATTCTCTCATCCATTTTCTACCTTCCTCCCTCACACTTTCTTTCTTTCTTTCTTTCTCTCGCCCCTTCATATTCTCACGAACCAAACAAATACTCTGTCTTTTAACCTTCTCTGTTCCGTATTAGTATTTATCTTCTGAACTTGGGATGGCTGTTCAAGCTCAATACCCTTCCAATGTACTCCTTCTAAACAGGTTTGTATCTTCCTTATTTAGCTCAAACTATTATCCTTTTAATGCATTTGCCATCAATTCTGATTAAACAATCAATTTCTGTTAGCAAAAGGGGTCAAGAAGGGCATGACTATTCATTACAATCACAACCAGGAGGACTCGGTGATCATCAATCCCACATGTTATTCAACAATGAAGGTAAAAGTTTGATTTTTGATAACCTTCAATTGTGCCCCCATTAAGAGAGTGCATGAGATTGAAACCTATAAAAATATATAAAAATGCCCAATTTCATTTTTGATCAAACAGCTACTAATTCTCGGAAGAGAGGCAGAGAAGCAACAGTAGGCATGGGGGTTGTGCATACATCTCAGAATGTTATGAATCAATTCTCTTTGCAATCCCAGTCTCCCCAGCTTATAGACCTTACTCAACTCCATAACCACCAACAAAATGTAGTCTCCACCGGTTTACGCTTATCCTTTGGTGACCAACAACAACAACAACAACAACAACTACAAAGACTACAATTGCTTCAACAACAACAACGACAACAACAAGAACAACAACGTGGGTCTCAGTCCTCTGCTTTCTTATCTGTATTGTCCCAAGGTTTGGCCTCGCAAATCAAACAACAACGAGATGAAATTGACCTATTCATTCAAGCCCAGGTACATTTTTTTTTTTTAAAAAAAAAGAAAAGAAAAATCTTCTGTTATGATTAGAAATTGAAATTTTATTTTTTAAGACCTCGGAATGAATGAAACAAAATGATGAATGATCGATGGGAATATATCAGGGTGAACAATTGCGGCGGGCATTGGCGGAGAAGAGGCAAAGACATTATCGGGCACTGCTAAGCGCGGCGGAGGAATCAGTAGCACGCCGGCTGAATGAGAAGGAAGCCGAGGTGAAGATAGCCACACGCAGGAACGCCGAGTTAGAGGCACGCGCCGCGCAACTTAGCGTGGAAGCGCAGGTTTGGCAGGCGAAGGCGAAGGCGCAGGAAGCAATGGCGGTTTCTTTGCAAGCCCAACTGCAGCACGCTATGATGAGCGGAGAAAAGAGGAGCGGAGAGGATGGTGGTGGGGTATCGTGCGCCGTGGGCGTAGAGGGACAAGCGGAGGATGCTGAGTCAGCTTATGTTGACCCGGAGCGAGTGGTATTGTCGGGTCCGAAATGCAAAGGTTGTGGGAAGCGAGTGGCTTCGGTGGTGGTTTTGCCGTGTCGCCACCTATGCGTGTGCACAGAATGCGACAGACATTTACGGGCATGCCCCGTTTGCCTCACCGTTAAAACTTCCACTGTTGAAGTCTATCTATCTTAGTGCCAATTAACGTGCTTGTCCCTAAGAATTGGTCCCCATAAAAGAGCCAACTCAAGGGCGAAAAAAAGAGAGAGTAAAATCTAATTAAATAATATAATAAAAGTTCCAATTTTTATTTTTATTTTTATTTTTCTTCTCTCTCTTTTTTATGAATCTAAGGGGGATTTCTTGTTTTTGTTGTACATGATGGTGGGGATTTCTGAGTTGGGTAATATGGCCGGTTGAGACTCGAGATTTTTTTCGCCATTATATTTTATATTCCTCGTAGGGTTGATTACCTAGGTGATGTACATGGCCATATGGGTAGTGGCATTTTTTTCGTTCTCTCTTTTGGATATTCTATTGAATTGATATTTAATATATTCTTTCACTGGATAAATACCTGATGGCTTTCCAAATCCACAATGTCAATGAATTGTTGTCTCTATCTAAATGTCAGAATCTTGGCATAATTTCTAAAAGCTTTGTTGATTTGTTATACATACGTGTAGTATGATGAAAGCTAATTTGAAGTTTGATTTTCATTTCATTTCATTAGTTGCATGGAGAGCATTGCTCGGGTAAAAGGATTTTCATTTTGAGTGGTAATATGTATGGTTTACTTGCAATTGTATTGATTAATTTATATTGATATTAAAATAATAAATCATATATTTAATCTTAATTATGAGCATTTAAATCTAAATATGATTAACAATTAAGACAATCTAATATATATAGGAACTTTTTATTTTAGTTTCAATTTTTTTAAGTCTCTTCTCTATGTCAATATTTGTTAAATTCATGTAAGATGTTAATTCTTTTATAGGCAGATAATGATAATTTCTAACAAAAATATAATTACAAAAATACAAGAGAAAAAAATATGTAAAATTTAATAAAACTATATAATAACAAGGGAAAAGTGTTTGTCATTTTAAAAAACATAAAGTTATGTCGTTTTAAGAGAGAGATAGACACAAAAAAATATTTTTTTATTTAAAATTTAAATTAAAAAAAACCACACACTTTCTCTCTCATGATTTTCATTTTTTCTGTCTTTCTCTCTCTTAAAATGACATAACTTATGTCATTTAAAATGACAAACACAAAACCCTAACGAGAATTTAAGAAATGGATGAAGACAATAAGTATTTACAATTTCATTTGATTGTTATTAAGTTTATTATTTATTTTTTAAAGTTTTTTATAAATTTTTAGCCATTTTTTTTTACTTTTAGATTATTGAGTAATCCTTACAACTTTCTTCCTTTAATTTTTTCAAATTCTACCAATTTTTCCTAGCCATATAATGGATAATAGTAATTTTGAAAAATATTAAAATTAAATAACAAAAAGAAAATCTGAAAAGATTGCCCCAGTATAATCATTAAGGTAGCAGATTTTATTTAACTAATAAACCTTTTTATCGTATTTAATTTTTTTATAAACTTTCATAAATCGAATTAAAAAGTTTACATAAAATATCTATAAATAAAGAATGTAATAGGCTGCTAGCTAACTTAGTTAATAAAAAATTTTAAAATTGATTGTAAGGATCTACAATCAAACCATGACTTCATTTTTTTCTCCTTTCAAATGTGTGCAAGCAAAAAAAAATTATTTTGTGAAATCTTAAAATTTCGAATATCTAAGAAAATAATTAATTAAAATTATGGCATAATAGTTGTACTTTTACTATAATTGTACCGAAAGCCTTTTTTTTTAGATAGTCAAAATAGGAGAAATTTTTTTTTTTTGAGTCTAAACCATGGTAGTCTCTCCCCAAAATAGAAAAAAAGAAAGAATTGAGAAGAAAAATTCAAAAAAAGAGGGATAGAAATGATTTTTTTTTTTTTAATGAAAAAGGGACCACTGAATAAATAGTCGGCCTGAAGTATATTAAACATTTCCCCAAAATAAATAAGGGAGAAGTTTGAACAAGAAAGGGAAATTCTTCATTTTAGATAGCCAAAATGCTTTAGTAACTTGTTTTTCATGTGAAGAAAGAGTTCTCGAATAGTTTAACGGTCATAAAGTTTGTACTCTTCACTTGTCGTTTAATGCCGGAAACTAAAAACATTACCACCAGCAGAAAAGCCCAAAACACATTAGGCCCGTGTCGGTTTGGAGAACACATCCAGGAAACATTGGCCCCATCCCTATTCTTGTTCTCATTTATGCTTTTCTTCTCAAATCTCTTTCTGAATGATATTTTTAATAAAACAATCATAGTCGTTAAAAAAGATATAATAGAACTAAAATATTATTTAATAACATATATACATGGTTACTTCTTGCGAATATATATAATGACTAAAACCTGCTTCTTTCCCTTTTTCTTGCTTCCACCGAAAACCAAACTTTCAATTATTAAAGTAAAATTATAGTTATGCACACATAGGAATCAGGATTCAGAACTGATGACCCTTCGAAGTAAAGCATATGAATAATCCATTTTAAGTTCGCCGAGACTAGTAGGATACTGCCAACAGGGACAGTTCAAGTGATTTCCAAGAAAATTGTCCTTCGTCTTCCTGTCACGACTCTCTTTAACATCGATGATCTAAATTTACCTTTTATACGTTTATTTAGTGAATCCATGTAGGCCAGAGTCTATAGAAAGAAAACAAAACAGCCACTTTGTTTCAACTTCCAAGATTTATTTTTTATTTTTTAAATAAAAGCAATGAAAAATTGGAAATTAAATAAAACACAATTTAGTGTTCTGTACAAAAGGAAAACGAAAGAACCAAAGAAGAAAATACTGACCAAACAAACAAGGGAGTTGGACAAGCCTCGGCATCATCATCTATACGAGGTCTTTTCCTTGAAGTTTAATTATCAAAGAGGTAGAACTCAATTTGAATACAAATTGATCTCAATTTTTTAGCCAAATTTAGGGCTCTGACACATAGGACAAACGTTACTAGTCTGATATTGGTTGGTTGCATACAACCAATGTATATTTAATTAGCTTTTGGGATGATGATCTCAAGATTCATAATAATTGGTACTTACGTTGAGAGTTAAGGCCACATAAAGGATTAAATATACTCTGGATTAAGGTTTTATATCTCCCAAAGTGAAGCCGCCAAAAGAAAAAAAGCTAGTAAGTGTTGATAGAGTAAAAGTCGTTGCAGACGTCGGCCCTTAAAAGAAATGATAATATTATGAGTCGCATATTAATTACCTATGTAGCGAATATACACACTCACCTTTTGAACTAACTTTTAAAATGGTGATCTTTTAAGGTTGGTAAATGGTAACTAACAAATGTTGCAAGAGAGAGAAGCATAGGGGTCCCTATTATTAGAAGTCTCTAAACACAGGAACAGTGATCAAAATGTCATTGTTCATCGAGTTTTTTACTCAAATGCCACACGAATAGTGTTATTTCCCAATATGCCACGTGGGCAAATTCGCTGGGCACTGTAGCGAACTCGGTTTGCTGACGTGTCACGTTTCTAGTGGACACAAGTACCAAGTTCGCTACTGAGGGTAGCGAACTTGGTTGGAATATATAATTGGGAAAGTTACATTCCAACCAAGTTCGCTACCCGCAGTAGTGAACTTTATACTTGTGTCCACTAAAAATGTGACACGTCAGCGAACCAAGTTCGCTACAGTGCCCAACAAATTTGCCCATATGACATATTGAGAATAACACTGTTCGCGTGGCATTTAGATAAAAAATTTGATAAACAGTGACATTTTGGTCGGTGTTGTCTGAACACAATACGTGATCAAAACCAGATTGGATCTTTCTTAAGCCTATCTAATTTCTTTGCTATTATATGATTCCTACTAACTAATAATATTCAGTGGTTATGGCAATGACTCGTACAGATATACAGACACAAGCACTATTATCATATTGTCACCATGTGACCGTGCTCCACGTTGTCTACTCTGTTGCCTGCGAATTGTATATTACTCTTATGTGCTATGACTCATCAATTCCACGAGAAGAAACAAAATCAATTTTATTTTGAAACAGGAAAAGGAAGCAACGAAAGATGGGAAAGTACATCAGAATCACATCGTTTCGGTGAGAGTAACATGTAAATTTATGGTTGCGGGTAATACGTTTACAGATCAAACAAGTTTGCCCTGTCATGAATGGATGGAGGCCATGCCAGATTCCTACCATTTCATTCAAGGGCAATCATGATTCACTTTTGTTTTCTTCTTGATTGATGTTGATGACTTGTTTTCAAATCTGAGCGTTATTAAAGCCTTGTAAACAAATTTATTCTACCAGATTCTTCCTGAGTTGATGAATGTGAATAAATGGCATCCTTGTCAGCTTATCCGTAAGGAGGTATAATAGATAGCAAAGAACCGATATATTAATTGAATTAAATTATAATCAATCAACAAGATCGAAGCTTTCCAAGGGGGCTGTATTTTTGGTAGTACAAGAAAAGATAATCTTTTACTACAAATAGAAAAAAGCGAAATTTATATGGCATTAATCATAAAATCATCATGAGTAGAATAGGTAAATTTAATTATATTATTTTTTTCCAATTTTCATAAAAGATATATGGAGTTTAATATACTTTTGCAGTACTCAAAATACTTTCATGATATATATATATATATATATATATATATATATATATATATATATATATATATATATAGGTAGGATCTTTTGGCACCGGTGTCAAATTTGAAGTTTGACATCTCACTTGAGAATCGTTAGATCAAAAAAGATTAACAACTCTGATTTGTAAGCATGTGACACCATTGATCTTTTTTGATCTAACGGCTCTTAAGTGAGGTGTCAAATTTCAAATTTGACACTGGTGTCAAATGATCCTACCTATATCTATCTATATATATATATATATATATATATATATATATATATATAAACGAGTCAGATGCCTTATTAGGAATATATTGCCCAAAACTTGGCTTAATATATTTAATAATGTAAAATAGGTTTAGCCCTTAAAAAAATTAAGAAGAAAATAATCCATAAATCTACTTTTGAAATGTCCAGCTTACAAGCATACACGTGGACATATATGATATTATTTATTTTAATTAAAATAAAACAATTTTAATAACTACTATAACATTATTTTATTTATTTTAACTTTTTTTAATATATATTAAAGATATGATAGAATAATAGGTATAAGTCAGATCTTTTATTTTTAAATATAAATCAAATTAGGCTACAAACATTTTACTGGCTTATTTACATTAAAGACTATTTAGTCGAGCCAATTTACACTCATAATAATAAATCCTCTTACGTGAAAATTTTACATCACCAATCATATGAATAATTTCTCCCATTCATTCTTAATCAATTGATATTGTAAAAGATTTGTTATCTCATATCATAAATACAAAGCATGTAGAATCTACTTTTTTAAGAATAGATAAATAAATGTTAATACAACTTTTGAATTATGAATAAAAATATTATATTATTTTATATAAAATGAGAATAATATTGTCCAAATTATAATCATGGACAACCATTATTGATATTCACATGCTCAATATTTCTAATCACTTATCTCATGCATGATCTTATTAATTGTAGCCTTGAATATGAGCTTTTTGACCTAACAAATGCGCTTTTTGAAGTAGTCAGTTCAGTCAAGATACATCATAATTAGGTGCACATATTAGTATGGACAGGTAAAGTTAAAGTGAGCATTTAAGTTTATGCAATCTAATCATGTTATGATCATGTACGTGTTTATCTCTGTCATATACACACCTACAGTATGCGTGATTATATTCGCAAACACCCGATGCTTCTTACATTAATCCGATAATATATTTGATCAAAGAAGTAAATCGGTGAAATATTTTAAAAAACGCGACAGGTCAAAAAGCCTTGGATAAGCGACGTGCCTCCTTTGTCCCTTATAAAGAGAAGTTTAACATGAGTCTAATTGTGGTTCGTCATTATGTAGATGAATAGGCCTTGGCAGTCTCCTTGAGTCCTTAATTAAGGGCGTACCGCGTAGGTGTCCGAACTGACATTTGGAAGCACATTGAATTCTGTGCATGGATGTGACAAATCTAATAAAATGTCTACTAAATTTGAAAAAAATGGAGGATGATAATGGGGGTGTTTGACGTGTATGGAGTTTTTTTTATTTAAATTTACGAATTTGGTATTTGATTTTGAGATATTACTCTTTGGGGTCTTTAAGTTTCGGAGGGGGATCCCCACGGCTCTAGATGACGCACGCCTACTCCTGCGGCACTCATTTAACGTTTTCTGTTTTGTTTTTTTCTGGAGAGAGAGCCGCCTAGAACCCCCAGCGGCAGTAATTGATTTTTTGAACGGTCCTCTTTCCTCATTATCCCAACGGTAATTGATTTAACAGTTTATGTCTTCCCTTGCACTTTACTACGAATTATTAATGTTGTTAACAATCATGGGTTCTATGCCAGAGTTAGTACTATTTGTTTTTTAAATTTTTGATAGAATATATTAATTATTTTTAACAGTTGAAAAGAAATTTGTTCATTTAGATACGATAGGTGCACAGCTGAAAAGGAACCCCTGTGTGTGCTGCAAAACATGCAAAGCCGAAATGGTATATTGTTAGTATCACATTTTAACTTTTTCGCTTAGTTTGCACATTACTATCATAGGCATGGTCCAGATTTATAAATATTAACTTTTAAGACAAGATTTTTGGGGTGAGAGCTTTCATAGTCCCTGTTAAAAAGACATTATAATATCACTTTTTTTTAATAGCTTTATAACTTCAATAAAAAACTTCCCTTTTAAAAACACAATGCTACAAGACCAAACTTAACTGGAAAGCCTTTTAAACTTCTCTGTAAGAGGGGAGCACTTAGCATCATTGCAACCTAACAAATAAAAAAACATTGTCTCCAAGTTATAAAACATTGTCTCCAAGCTGTAGGAGGGGAAGGAATATGAGGAACTCTCCAGTATGAATCCAGAACACGTCCCAAGCAGTGAATGTTCCATTTCCTCTTCACTTGATCGTAAAATAGGAGAATCAGAATCCCCAAGCTTATCACTGTCAGCCTGCACAACCATATATAATTCATGAATTTTTTTTTTACAAAACTTACTTGAATAAATAAGCATGGAGAGACAAAAATTTAGATGCAAATAACCATAAGATACATCACCAACGATAACGGTGCTGCAAGGAAACATCATCTTCTTCATCTTCTTCATTGTGATCTAAACAAAGAATTTATCAAATCTTCAGCATCCAATTAACTTCCATAAAGACATTATTTGTAGAACAAAAAGCTCTTCCTTTAAAAGTTCGAACATATAACTTTTATGCATTCAACCGACTGGTTACCATCCAAATCTTCAATTGCATGTCCACCCTCATCATTTAAGTTACTAATTTCAACCTACAATCAACATCAAACATCAGATGTTAAATTGCTTCTAACAAAAAAACTAGCTAAATCAAATGCTTAACCAATTGAAAGAGAAAAAATTCATTTTAATATAACCACAAAAAAAATTATGTCAAATGACTTACATGTTTCTTCTTCTTCTTTTTTAAATCTGAAAATGAACTTTCAGCCACATCAGAGACTGGAATATAACAGCTAAATGAACATGACTTCATTTTTTAGTAGATATGTATGGAAACCACAAATATTCAGTCATACAAACAAAATCTATAGTTTGATTTAGCCTGGGGAAATGTTCTCATCCCTCTCTGATAGGATAAACAAACTTTAACTTCTAATATACAATTAAGCATGCATTGTTGGACAAAATTAAAGGCCTTACCTTCTAGTTTTCCATGCTTTATTTCACTTGACGAGCTATATTATCACCTCTTCATTTATATACAATTGAAACGAAAATACTTGGATCATCATTTTATCTAACTGAAAAGCAAAAATTGTAACGAAAATACTTGGAACAACTTTATATACAATTGAACACTAAAACTTTAATTGTATGTGCAGTTTTTTTTGTTTTCTCATTATTTTCTGTCCCTTCGTCCAATTTGCTCAGCATTTGGCAAACAGCTACTACAAGTTAAAGGCCAGCCCTTAAACCACCTAAAAAAAATTGTATGAACCAATTTTTTTTAAAGACTGGTAAGATCACTTCATGTAATGCCGCACTCTCAGAACTACGAACTTGGGTTAAGGTATATATTTTCATTAGGTAGTTCATCCAAAAATTTATCCCACTAAAACATGAAACACTATGGTGAGTAAATCAAAGTACTTACTCGAGCAAGAATCCTGCATTTACTCAAGTAAATGGCTGAGATGAAGCTAATTTATGGACCAAGACACCTTACATCATTCATGGCATTCAAATTCTCATTTCAACATTGCTAACTCCTACTCATATACTATATATATATGTCATATACTATATTTCTATGTATGCATCCATGACCTAAGACTTGAAGGAAAGAAATTATGATAATTGCTATTGTAAGTTATTCGAAATTCAATATATAAGTTATATTAGGCATTCTGCCCAAGGACTGAAAACAGCTTCACTGGTATTTCAGGCACACCAACATCATATTTAAGCACGGGATCATATCTAGAAAATACATTATTCCATTTCTTCCCTTTAACGAAATTTTCAAGGAAAAGCTTCTAAACATAGGGCTTCGAGCCATTTACCAAAACTTAAAGAGTTCACTCATGTTTTTAGGCTATGGTAAGAAAAGAAAAAGGATATTTGTCTTCGTTCGAAACATAAACTGTTAGAAACGCAAGGTTTTAGCTATAAAGTGCAATCTATCCAATGACCTAAAACATGGCTATGTAGTGCTGTAGTGCACTAAACCTAACAAATAACTGAGACAGATTTTGCTTATCACATCTGTGAAAGATAACACTAAACCCATTGATCCATAAATTGTAGTCAAAGAGAATGAGTTACCTGCTACGTTTGTCTAAGAAATTAGAGGTTCATTCCATAATCAGAGACACCATTGATAAGGTTCTTGTCCTCCGATTTGGTCGCGCCTCTGCCCCTAGCTGTCTCCAGCTCCACGAAATTGTAGATTGGAAAGAAGAAAACAGAGATTAGCTCCCTGTCTGCCTCCAATTTCATTCGAACAAATCAGTTTTCGTTTTTTTTATTTTTCATTCGGAGAAGTAAACAGGATTCATAGATTGGGGTTAAAAAAATTGATAAATTAGTGTCGATGGGGGGTGAGGGCGGCACTTGTTTAAAATGAAAATATATTAAGTGCCGATGCGGAGAATGCGCGGCACTGAGTTAGCAGAGAGAAACAAAAAAATACAATTACAAGAGTGCCGCATGGGTGAGGGGGCGTCATTTAGATACGCTGGCCCCATCCCCCGGCACTTGAAGACCCCAACTCGTAATTTCAACCATTCAGATACTGAATTGGTAAATTTAAACGAAAAAAGTCCCAATGTGGTCAAAGAGCCATGATAATGGATTACACTTTTTTCTATATCACAAGCAAAATATTTTTAAATGCGTTAGATACATTAATAATTTTAGAATAAATACGCTTTTTGGTCCCTAACAAAAAATACGGTGCCCACTTTAATCCCTTACAAAAAAAAATTAATCTCGAGGTCCCTAACAAATTCAAAGTGGACCCATTTAGTTAAAATCGTGGTCCCTCACAAATTCAAAAAAGACCCACATTAGTCCCTCAAAAAGACAAAAATGGGTCCACTTTGAATTTGTTAGGGACCAACCGACTAATTTTTTTTTGTAAGGGACTAAAGTGGATATCATATTTTTTGTTAGGGACCAAAAAAGATATTTATTCATAATTTTATTTCAGTGATAGGTCAAATATAGCATGGAAGTGATGCTGGACGAATTGGTTGGAGATTCACTCATTTGAGTAAGGGTTCGTCGTTTCTCCTTTCGCTGCTGATGAAAAAAGTTGCAGCAAATTATTAACACTAGGATACAGGGTTGTATCCTGGCCTAAAAAAAAAAACACATCAGGATCCAGACGCGTATCCTGATAAAAGTAAGTGTTGTTGCACTTTTTCCCATCTGCAGTGACAGAAGAAGTATATAACCCTTTAAGTAAACACTTGGAAACTGATGTGATTTTTATGCTTGGGTAAGCCCTTAACGGGAACAGTGATCAAAGTGTCACTGTTGACAAAAAAATTTACCAGACTGCCATGCCAACAGTAAATTTTTCCAAAATGCCACGTGGCATATTTCGCTACACTGTGTAGCGAAATATGTGTGCAAATAATTCGCTACACAGTGTAGCGAATTTCTCCAATTTTGACACATGGCATTTTTGGTTCTGACGTGGCATATTTCGCTACACCCTGTAGCGAAATATTTTCACACATATTTCGCTACACAGTGTAGCGAAATATGCCACGTGACATTTTGACAAAATTTACTGTTGGCGTGGCAGTCTATTAAAATTTTTTTGTTAACAGTGGCAAAATGGTCACTGTTCCCCCTTAACGTGTATGCCCTGCGTTACAACTTTTGGTGCTTTCTTCTCTGTTTTACAAAGTTTTCTTATATCAAGGGCTCATTTGGATGAGTTTTTTTTCGGTCAGAAGTTTTTTTTTTTTCAAAAAAAGAACTTTTATTTTAGAGTGTATTTGAATGCTGCTACTAAAAAAAGCAGAAATTATAAAAAAAGCCAAAAATTTACTTTTTTCAGAAGCTAAAAATTTTAGCTTCTCAAAAAAGCAAAAGTCAAAAGCTAATTTTTTTTGTTCAAAAAATAAATATTTTTTTAAAAATTTAAATAGTTTTAACTTATATAAAAAACACTTTTAAAATAAGTAGGCATAAAAGTAACTTTTTTAAAAATGCAATCCAAACGCACTCTAAATATGAAAATATTGTTTTTCATATTGCATAATTATGCAACACATAAGTTTCATTCACTTGTATGAAACAATTAATCTCATGAAACATGAAAAATAATATCCTCACAATATATATATATATATGGTAAAATAATTTATAATGTGACTATTTATAAAGGGTCAGGATCATTTTACATCAGTGTAAGTTACACTCTCAATCTTGTCTGTTGATCTCACTTATATCTAAGGCTCTAATATTTTAGTAATGTGAGCCATTGGATACAAGTGAATCAATAGTCAAGATTGAGTATAAGACTTCTAACTCTTACACCGGCGTAAGAATATCCTGCCCCATTTATTAGTATTGATATAGTCACCTAAAAATTACGTTATTTCTGGAGGGATAAAGGAAGTTCATGTTCAAAAATAATTATAAAAAATGAAAATACTATATTTATTTCCACCTTTATATGGTTATGATTCCTTATATTTAATGCTTTATATTTATTTTCTTTTTTATATGGTTATGATTCCTCATATTTAAAGCTTTCACAATATAAAACGACGTAGTTTTATATGACTGCATCAATCCTTAGGTGTAGTCACTATACATCCGCTAACCCATATATATATATATATATATATATATATAAGGTAGGATCTTATATGAGGTAAGATCCTTTGACATCGGTGTCAAATTTCAAATTTGACACCTCGTTTGAGAGCCGTTAGATCAAAAAAGATCAACGACTCTGATTTGTAAGCATGTGACACCATTGATCTTTTTTTATCAAACGGCTCTCAGATGAGTTGTCAAATTTGAAATTTGACAACGGTGTCAAAAGATCCTACCTCTCTCTATATATATATAAATTAATTTTTCTTTTATGTTTTAGAAAAATAAATTATAAATGTTGGGGCCTACTGTTTTCAACTACAAAGATTAAACAAGAAGGGCGACATGAACATTAAAGGGCTTTTTGACCCTTTTGTCCCTCATTAATTAATTAATAACCAATTTACCCCTCCCTCAGAACTATCCACCTTCCTGCCCCCATTTAGTCGATCAACTAGCACTTTTAATCGACTAAATGGTCAAAATGCAGAAAACATGAATAACGAGATTTAGTCGACTACATCCTCACCTTGATCGACTATATTTCGAGCACTTTTAATCGACTAAGGACTTTATTTAGTCGATTAAAAGTTGCAGAAAACCCTATATCCAGCCCTTTCTCGGTCTCATTTGCAATATTTTCGTTTTGTACCCCCTCTATCTCTTGTTTGTCAGCTGCGATCCTTCCAATAACGATTCCATTTCATCCCACCATCTCTAAATCATAGTAATTGTGAAATCATTGTCATTCCCCTTATTTTCTCATTTGTTTCCCCCAAATCTGAACCTAAAACCCTAAAACCTGATTCCTACCCTCAAATTCGTGTGAAAGATGAGCTCAAACCCAAACATGTATGTTACAATGATCTACTATGATGGAAAGCATTATGAAGGCCCCAACGGTGTTCAATTTGAAGGAAAAACAAAAATGTTGAAAATCAAACAAGGCACTACGTACAATGAGCTGAAAGGGAGGATTCACCAAAAATTGGGGCTACAAGGCAGCCAGTGCGTTCAACGGATGATCGCCAGGGTAGAGTCTACAGTTGGTAAGGATGTTATATTCTACATTGGTAATGATATATGTGACGATGAAGATGTGGAATGTGTCATAGATGCTTTGTGGACCGAAAATTTCAAAATTTTATTGAGATATATGTTGAAATAGACTGTGGTCAATCTTCATCTGCATCTATGCATGAAAGAAGTCAAAGTCAAGAAGACAGAGTGGTCGGTTTATCTGCACTTGCACCTGTCTTAAGTCAGATAACACTGAGGGAAATAGACGAGCATGAGGATGAGCATGAGGAGGATATGGACAATGAAGACGACGGTGAACCCGAGACTGTTATTCCGCTGGGTGACACCTCAGACACGGACGTATAGGGGAATTTTGACGCTGACACAAGTTCAGGAAACCTGAGTTCCCAGGTTATGCCACCACTCCGTGTTGACCCTGTTAGCAGTTGTAAGATAGTAAATTAAAGTTTTTAAATGAATATTTCATATTTGTGTTATCATTCGTACTGACGGATAACTCTTGTAATTTGGACGTAGGTTCCGAGATTGAGTCGTTTTGGAACGAAAGCCCACATTATTCCTTCATTAATTGGGCTCACCCTAATGATAAGACAGAGATATTGTATGGTGACGATGACTTCCACGGTCGCTGGGAATTAGGGGAACCATTATATTTGTACTAGGAGTTTCGAAGTAAATCTGAAATGCAACATGCAGTCAAATTATATTGTATGAAGGCTCATCGTACTGCTGTGGTGGCAAAAAGTGATGACCATAGATTTGTGATGAAGTGTCGACACCATAATGATGGTTGTCCCTGGTAGGTGCGGGCTATGTTGCCCAAGAATGGAAATACTTGGGTTGTTAGTAAGTGGGGTAAAGAACACACCTGCCTAAACCAAGGCCTTACCCGGGACCATAGACATCTGGATTCTGATGTAATCTGTGCAGCCATTATAAGTATGTATTACGCGATGTTTGGTTACATTAGTTATGTTTATGTTTTTTTTACGGTATATTTATTGACTGTGTTGACTTCATTTTTTTATAGGTATGTTAAAAGAAGATCCATCTCTGAAACCAGTTCTTATTCAAGAGAGGGTACAACGTTTGTATGGATATAACATATCTTATAGGAAGGCTAAAATGAAGGCTATTGTGAAGTTGTTTGGCGACTGGGATAAATCATATGCCTTCTTACCTGGTTGGCTTACCTACACGACACAGATTAATCCTGGTTCTGTGTTCAAGATTGATACGGACCAGTGTTGCGACGAACGACGTGTGTACACCGATAAGGCTGTCTTTCGCAGGGTATTTTGGACTTTTCACCAGTGTATTGAGGCTTTCAAATATTGTAAACCCATAATCCAAATTGATGGCACGCACCTGTACGAGAAATACAAAGGTACCCTCTTGATTGCTACGTCACAGGATGGTGATGGATACATTATGCCTATTGTGTTTGCCATTGTTCCACCAGGTGAGAGATTGCATGATTGGTTGTGGTTTCTTAGCCTCATGCGTTTCCATGTCACACATAGGCATGGTCTATGTCTAATATCCAATCGTCACCCCAGCATCATCAGGGCTGTGAAGGATCATGCCGGTTGGCAGCCTCCATCTGCGTATCACGTGTTTAATCGACTAAATAAAGTCCTTAGTCGATTAAAAGTGCTCGAAATGTAGTCGATCAAGGTGAGGATGTAGTCGACTAAATCTCGTGATTCATGTTTTCTGCATTTTGACCATTTAGTCGATTAAAAGTGCAAGTTGATCGACTAAATGGGGGCAGGATGGT